CCTCTAGGTGTCCAAGTGAAAGGAAAGGAAGAATCGCACGTCTCTCACATTAAATCAAAGCCAGAAACGCTTAAGCTTGGTGAGGAAAGCATGTCGAAAGCCGAGACAGGCCTAAAACTAGGCCTCTCGGGCCAGTTAGCCAAGTTGCGAACGCAAAGGAAGAGTTCTTGAAGGAAATATAAAGTGCTCCTTCAGCAAACACAGGAATGATAAGAAAGCAAAACAGCCTTATTGCTGAGATGGAAGAAGTTTTAGTGGTCTTAACAGAAGATCAAGCCAGCCACAACATTCCCTGAAGCCAAAGACTAACACAGAGCAAGATCCCCACTCTCTTCAACTCTGTGAAGGCTGAGAGAGGTGAGGAAGCTACAGAAGTAAAGTTTGAGGCTAGCAGAAGTTGGTTCATGAGGTGTAAGGAAAGAAGCCGTCTCCATAACATAAAAGTGCAAGGTGAAGCAGCAAGTGCTGACGCAGAAGCTGCAGCAAGTTATCCAGGAGATCGAGCTGAGATAATTGATGAAGGGGGCTACACTACACAACAGATTTTCAGTGTATGAAACAGCCTTACATTGGAAGAAGATGCCATCTAGGACTTCCCTAGCTAGAGAGAAGTCAACGCCGGGCTTCAAAGCTTCAAAGGACAGGCTGACTCTGTTGTTAAGGGCTAATGCAGCTGGTGACTTGAAGATGAAGCCAATGCTCATTTACCATTCTGAAAATCCTAGGGCCTTAAGAATTATGCTAAATCTACTCCTCCTGTGCTCTATAAACGGAACAGCAAAGCGTGGATGACAGCACATTTGTTTACAACATGGTTTACTGACAGCACATTTGTTTACAACATGGTTTACCGAATATTTTAAGCCTACTGTTGAGACCTACTGCTCAGAAAAAAAGATTCCTTTCAAAATATGACTGCTCATTGACAATGCACCTGGTCACCCAAGAGCCCTGATGGGGATGTACAAGGAGATTAACGTTGCTTTCATGCCTGCTAACGCAACATCCATTCTGCAGCCTATGGATCAAGGAGTAATTTCAACTTTCAAGTCTTATTATTTAAGAAATACATATAAGGCTATAGCTGCCACAGATAGTGATTCCTTTGATGGGCCTGGGCAAAATAAATTGAAAACATTCTGGGAAGGATTCACCATTCTAGATGCCATTAAGAACATTTGTGATTCATGGGAGTAGGTCAAAATATCAACATTAACAGGAGTTTGGAAGAAGTTGATTCCAACCCTCTTGGAGGACTTTGTGGGGTTCAAGACCTCAGTGGAGGAAGTAACTGCAGATGTGGCGGAAATAGCAAGAGAACTAGAATTTGAAGTGGCACCTCAAGATGTGACCCAATTGCTGTAATCTCATGATAAAACTTTAACAGATGAGGAGTTGGCTTCTTATGGATGAGCAAAGAAAGTGGTTTCTTGAGATGGAGTCTACTCCTGGTGAAGATGCTGTGAACATTGCTGAAATGACAATAAAGGATTTAGAATATTACATAAACTTAGTTGATAAAGCAGCGCGAGTGTTTGAGAAGGTTGACTCCAATTTTGAAAGACGTTCTACTGTGGCTAAAATGCTATCAAACAGTATCATATGCTACAGAGAAATCTTTCATGAAAGGAAGACTCAACTGATGTGGCAAACTTCACTGTTGCCTTATTTTAAGAAATTGCCACAGCCACCCGAGCCTTCAGCAACCACCACCCTGATAAGTCAGCCATCCACATCGAGGCAAGACCCTCCACAAGCAAAAGGATAACAACTTGATCAAGGCTCAGACGATGCTTAGCATTTTTTAGCAATAAAGTATTTTTTAATCAAGGTATGTACATTGTTTTTAGACATAATGCTATTGCATACTTAATAGGCTCCAAAAAGAAAAAAAAAAACCTACTGCCCTCAAGCGGATTCTGACTCATAGCGATCCCATTAAGGTTTCCAAGGCTGTAAATCTCTACAGAAGCAGACTGCCACATCTTTCTCCCATGGAGTGGCTGGTGGTTTTGAACTGCCGATCTTTCAGTTAGCAGTCAGTCACTTTAACCACTGTGCCACCAGAGTCCTTTAATAGACTACCAAAACCAAAAAAACCAAACCTGTTGCTATCGAGTTGATTCCGTCTCACCAAGACCCTGTAGGACAGAGGAGAACTGCCCCATAGGGTTTCCCAGGAGTGGCTGGCGGATTTGAACTGCTGACCTTTTGGTTAGAAGCAGAGCTCTTAACCACTGTGCCACCAGGGCTCCAAAAATATGGAATGCTTCACGAATTCCAGCAGGCACATAATCTCAGCTGCTGGAGTTGGAAGTTGAACCAATTTGCAGGAAAATGTTCAGTTCAAGGGCACATGGACTATAGCCAGCAGGTCTGTTTCACCCCTAATACCGTGAATGCTGCTGTTTGTTTTTCAATCAACTTATGGACAAAGCCTGAAATATTTAATTATAATGATCAGGGGCAGATTAACCAACAAGCCAGGTACACACAGGCTTAATTGTGCTTACTTACTAATCTGTAGGGCACAATTTCACATGAGTATCCCCACATTGTTTACTTACTAATTTGTAGTGCACGATTTCACCTGAAACAGGTGAAAGCGTGCACTACAGATTAGCAAGTAAGCACAAGTAAGCCCGTGCCTACCTCGCTTATTGGGTAATCTGTCATTATTAATGATAGAAGACAATACAAATTTTCAATAGCATAAAGATAAGAATAAAACTAACAACATTAGTAGGGGAGGAAGGAAAGAGAAAAGAGTAGAAATGTACTAATTTCCTCATCTCTCATAGTAAGGAGATACGGTCTAAAATTTAGAAATAACAATTTAGGTGATCAACTTAAAGTCAGGAAAGCTTCCATCCGTAGACCTAAAACTAATATAATTAAAAAAATTAGGAGGTGGAACGAAGATACAGAAGATAAACTTTTATGGTTTTGAAAGATGCTGTTTACAGTTGATAAATCGAGAAACAGAAGAGTAAGTATTTTAAGTTACAGTGAAAAGACCCAGAGGAACTAAAATCAGAAACTGCTAGCTGTAGTTGTCTAGGGTATGCCACCACGTGGTGGGTGGGTTAGTAGGAAGGATGGGGGACACATTTACTTTCAATATTTTCCCGTTTTGTTTAGATTTTCAGCATTAGTATACATTGGTTTCATAACAAAACAAATCATAGTTTCATTGCAAAAAAATAACCTGTAGAACACTGTTAAATAGAATACTATGCAGTAGTTATAAAGAATGGAGTACAAGAGATATATATACATACATATATATATAACTCATTGCTGTGGAGTCGATTCTGACTCATAGCAACCCTACAGGACAGAGTAGAACTGACCCACAGTTTCCAAGGCTGTAAATCTTTAGGGAAGCTGACTGTGACATCTTTCTCCCACAGAGTGGCCGGTGGGTTTGAACCACTGACCTTTTGGTTAGCAGCCAAGTGCTTTAACCATTGTGCCACTAGGGTTCTTAGAATATATTATACATATATATTCCAAGAACGTTATGTTAGAAAAAATACATGTGCGTGTATGCAACGTTACTGTGCATGCGTGAACGTCGTCTGTAAAGACACCGCTTCAACAGAGGCTCCCAGTAGGGTCGGGCTATACAGAAAACCTCAACTGTTGCTTTTTTACTTTATACGACACTTGGCCCTCTGTATCCGCAGGTTTCACGTCTGCGGATCCAACCAACCACGGAGCCAAAATACTTGGGAAAAAAAAGACTTTTTTTCCCTCATTATTCCCCAAACAATATAACAATTATTTACATAACATTTACATTTAATTAGGTATTATAAGTAATTTACAGAGGATTTAAAGTATGGAGGAGGATGTACGTAGGTTACATGTAAATAGTATGCCATTTTATATAAGGGACTCCAGCATTTGCCGATTTCAGTATAGGGGATGCCCTGGAAACAATCCCCTGCAGAGAGAGAGAAGTATTTGTATCTCAAATTATAATCTACAGACCACCTGCATTAGAATCACATGGGCTACATGTAAAAAAGATGATTCCTAAGACCCATCCCAGACCCAAAATAAGAATCCCTGGGTGTGGAGTTCTAGAATCTGCATTTTTTTTTCTCACGTGCTTCCTAATGACTCCTACGTATACTAGTGTTTAAGTCCCACTGCCTGTCAGTAATTTTGGATTCGCTTTCCTTCCCAACATTTTATTGCAAAACCATTCAAACACACAGAAAAATGTAAACTATAATACAACAGTCTATTGAAAGTTATATATCCTCCAAGTACATGCGAGAACACATACATCCTTCTCGTTCTCTCCGTGTGTGTACACTACTTGCGTGTGTCTTTTCTTTCCTTGGCTGCACCGTTAGAAAGAGAGTGCAGACGTCACGGTACTTCCCCGAAGCCCTTCAGCCCAGCACGCGTCTTCTAAGAACGGCATGACTCTCCGTAACCACAGTGCAAAGGCACATCTAAAAACTGTACACATGCCCAAGCGAAAAAGGTTAGTAGTCGCACTTGTGAAGTTCATGCAGGAGAATCACAGGTACCGGAAAGCAAGACCGCACGTGAACGTGGGTGCTGGGTGTCGTCGATGCCGCCGTGGTCCTGCCAGGCCAGCACGCACACCGCAGCGTCCAGACCTCACCTGCCCAGGTGCCCGCCTCCCACGGGTGTGCGTACTCACCCCGCGCCCGAGGCCCCGCCCCTCCCGGGCGGCAAGCTCCGCAGGCCTGAGGCCACGCCCACTGCGTCTCCCCGTGGCGGCAGGCCCCGCCTCTCTAGGCCCCGGACTCCTCAAGTCCGAAGCCACGCCCCACAAACGAAGGCCCCGCTCCTCCGGGGCCACGCTCTTCGTAACCCAAGGCCCCGCCCCGAGGCCTGAGGCCCCGCCCCCTGCGTCTCACCTCTCTCCTAACACGTTACTCCGCCCACCACGTTTCCCCGCAGCGTCGAGCCCCGCCCACCGCGTCGCCCCGCCCCGCGGCCGTGTGGAATCTGCGGCGGCGGTCGGCCGTTAGCGCAGTTTGGCGGTTGTCTTGGAGAAGCAAGATGGCGGCCACGGCGACCGCGGTGGTGGCGGAGGAGGACACGGAGCTGCGGGACCTGTTGGTGCAGACGCTGGAGAATAGCGGGGTTCTCAACCGGATCAAGGTGCGGCGGGGCGGCCGCGGCGGTCGCGGCTGGCGGAGGGGAGCGGGCGTCACAAAGGGCCGCGGGCCGCGGCGAAGAGGCCGGCAGCGCGGGGAGCGTGTGTCGGACCGCGGGGCCTGGAGGACCGGCGCGATGCGGGGCCGGGTCCTCACCTCTGCCCACCCCTGCGTCCCCGGGACTGGCAGGTCGGGCCGTTTCCCGCGCCGGGGCCGGGCTCGCCGCGGTTTGGTGGGACCCCCGACTCCTGTGACCTGTGTCTGCGGGTAATAAAAGCGCGAGATGCAGTGTTATTCTTCAGGACAGCCTCCGCTTTGGTCAGGGGCTGCAGCCTGGGAGACAGTCAGGAAACGTAAGGTCTGCGCAGGCTGCGCTGTCAGGGAGACCTCGGACCAGTCAGCCTCCCTGGACCTTCCTCTCCACGGGACTAGGCAGCTGTATGGTGGCCACCAGTGGGTTCGAGGGAGTTCAGTAGCAAACCCTCTACACGTCCATCCCGGGTGGCGCAAATGGTTCCGCAGCCTACTGCTGGGATAAGCTCTAGACTACTAGCCACAGAGTTGGTGGTTCAAACTCGCCCAGAGCCTTCTCGGAAGACAGGCCTGGCGATTGGCTTCCTAAATGGAGCATTGCCTTGCACACCTGGGGTCGCCATGAGTCGGCATCGGTTCCACAGAAAACTAACAAGTAGTAAACACTCTTTCTAGACACCCACTCTTGACTGTCGGGCCGAGCTGCTGGAGGTGGAGGTACGACAGCGAGTGAGACTCTCAAGCTTGTTTTAGTAAAGCTGTTTTGGCTAGTTCCCTGTACGTTATTTCTCAGAGTTTTTGGGTGTTAGAAAAAAAAAAAAACTTGCCCGGGAGTAGACTCCAACTCATGGTGACTCCGTGTGTGTCAGAGTAGAACTAGATCCATAGAGTTTTCAATGGCTCGATTTTCAGTAGTAGATCACCAGGCCTTTCTTCCCGGGCACTTTTGGATCGCCTGGAACCTCCAACCTTTTGGTAGTAGACCAGTGCGTAAACAGTTTGCAGCACCCAGGGACTCATTTGAACCCTAACCACTCATTAATTGAGGGGAAAGGAGGGTATTTAATCAAAACAATGGTCACTGTCCAGTTGATACCCACTCAGCATCTCTATAAGACAAGGTACAACTGCCCCACAGGGTTTCCAAGGCTGGAATCTTTGCGGAAGCAGACTGCTGCATCTTTGTCCTGTGGGGCAATTGGCGGGTTTGAGCCACCAACCTTTCGGTTAGCAGCCGAGCATTTTAACCACTGCACCACCAGGGTTCCTTTAAACAGTGATTACTAAAATAAAATTACAAGGAGAAGAAATAGGCTCGTGGAGAAATGAGGAGCTTACAGTAACTCTTCAAGACGTCGGTATGACTTTCTGACCTCTCGTCGGCCTTTTCCCAGTGAGCATTACTGTCTTGCTAGTTTTTCTTTCTTCAGTTAGGTGCTGTGAACGGTGCCTGTGGAACTTAGTGTTGGGGTCACGCCCACATTGTGAATTGCTTCTTCATCAGCTCCTTAATAAATAACCCGTGACCCGGTGCCCTTGAGTCAATTCCCACTCATAGCGGCCCTAGGACACAAAAGAACTGGCTCAAAGAGTTTCCAAAGAGGACCGGTGGATTCCAACTGCTGACCTTTTGGTTAGCAGTCGTAGCTCTTAATCACTGCACCGCCAGGGTTTCCCCCTTAATAGATAGACACAAAATATCTATCAGGAGTAGGAAAAACCCAGTGTGTGCTTCTTGTAATGAAAATTGCCTTGAAATGATTGTTCTATTTTGTCTTATTTTTTTTAAGGCTGAACTCCGAGCAGCTGTGTTTCTAGCACTAGAGGAGCAAGAAAAAGTAGAGGTATGAACTTTAGAAATTTTAATATCACTGTATCGATTAACATTTGACTCATAATTTGTGGTTAGTGGTTATAGTCGTGTATAGTCAAGGATAAAGGAGCCCTGGTGGTGCAGTGGTTAAGCACTCGGCTGCTAATGAGGTCAGCGGCTCAAACCCACCAGCCGCTCCGCAGGGGAGAGATGTGGCAGTCTGCTTTCATAAAGATTTACAGCCTTAGAAGCTCTGTGGGTCAGTTCTCCTCTGTCCTGTAGGGTCTCTATGAGCCAGAATTCACTTGACAGCAGTGGCTTTTGGTTTATAGTCAAGGACAGTTTTGAACTGTTAAGATTGTTGTTGTTAGCTGCTGTTGAGTTGGCTCTAACTCATGGGAATCCAGTGTATAACAACAGAGTGTTCCCTGGCCCTGCACCATCTTCACCATCCTTAGCATGTTTGCTTCTAGTCGGCCAGTATTCTGTTCCGATTCATAGGGTTTTCACTGGCTGAGTTTTGGAAGTAGATCACTAGGTGTTTTTTCCTAGTGTGTCTTAGTCTGGAAGCTCAACTGAAACCTGTCCACCATAAGTGACCCTGCTGGTATTTGAAGTACTGGTAGCATAGCTTCTAGCATCAGAACAACACACAAGCCACTATAGTATGACAAATCGGCAGACAGGTGATGGTAAAGAATTACATTTTTTTATTTTGGGAGAGAGCCAAAATCATTCCTTTTTTGTATATATTTTAGAACTTTACTGTTAAGAATGTTAAGCTACAACAGTAACTCTGAGACTAATATTAAGTCTTAAGTGTGATAATTCCCTTTCCTAGAGGAAATCTGAAACACACGGCCATTGGACTTATTTGGAGAAATGGTTCCATTGTCAGTGATATACTTTGCTGCAGGACTCTTCAGAAGTTTTAGTATGCTCATATGCATTGTGAATTCTGATGGGGAGGAAGTATATAGGATCCAACTTTTCCTCAACTTACCTGACTACCCAATTATTTTAAAATCATGCTGATCTTTCTTCGTGTCAAAAGTCTAGTCACTTCTCTGGGTTCAAGTATATAATTAAGGTTTTTTTGTTCACTCCCAAGTTTTGCAACCGTCCTTAGTAAATATCCTGGATCTTTTTGTCAACAAGAATCAGTCCATGTCAAAGTCTTAAAGGCTTTCTCTATGACAAATCAGTCTCTATCCTCGTCGAGTCTTTAGACCTATACACCCACTCGTGATCCCATCCGACCCCCCCATCCTTTGCTCTCTCTTGTGTTTCCAGGCACCAGTCTTCTCTTGGCTGCCTTTCATTCTTTACTCATCTGGACCCCATGACCTATGCCCTCCAAAACTTTAACTCCCTTGCTTTCCAGCCATATTTGGTCTAAAAAACATTTAGTTGTTGCTGTTGTTAGATGCTATCGATTTGGTTCTGACTCGTAGCATCCCTGTGTACAGCAGAACAAAACACCGCCAGGTCCTGTGCCATCCTCACAATTGTTGCTGTGTTTGAGCCCATTGTTGCAGCCACTGTGTCAGTCCATTTTGTTGAGAGTCTTTCTCCTTTTTCGAAGACCCTCTAATTTACCAACCATGATGTCCTTCTCCAGGGACTGGTCCCTCCCGATAACTTGTCCAAAGCTGGCGAGGCAGTCTCTCCATACTCGCTTCTAAGGAGCATTCTGGCTATATTTTTCCAAGACAGATTTGTTCATTCTTCTGGCAGTCCATGGTATGTTCAATATTCTTCGCCAACATCGTAATTCAAAGGCATTGATTCTTCTTCAGTCTTCCTTATTCATCGTCCAGCTTTCGCATGCATATGAGGCAATTGAAAACACCATGGCTTGGGTCAGGTGCACCTTAGTCTTCAAGGTGACATCTTTGCTTTTTAACACTTTAAAGAGGTCTTTTGCAGTGCATTTGCCCAATGCAGTGTGTCTTTTGATTTCTTGGCTGCTGCTTCATGGGTGTTGATTGTGGATCCAAGTAAAATGAAATCCTTGACAACTTCATTATTTTCTTCATTTATCATGATGTTGCTTATTGGTCCAGTTGTGAGGATTTTTGTTTTCTTTATGTTGAGGTGTAATCCATACTGAAGGCTGTAGTCGTTGATCTTCATCAGTAAGTGCTTCAAGTCCTCTTCACTTTCAGCAAGCAAGGTTGTGTCATCTGCTTATCGCGGGTTGTTACAGTATCTTCCTCTAATCCTGATGTCGCTTCAGCTTGAACTTGCTTGTGGGCAGTTGATGGTCTGTTCAACGGTCATCTCCTGACCGATGAGACTGTGCTGCTCTGTTGTTTTTTTCCACAGATGTAGATGCTTTGATTCTTGCATATTCTATCCACCGAGGTCCACATGTATAGTTGCTTTTTATGTTGTTTGAAAAAGATACTTGCAGTGAGTAAGTCAGTTCTGTTATGTGATCTCTGGTGTCATTTCTATCACCAAGGCCATATTTTCCAACCACTGATCCTTCTTCTTTGTTTCAGTCTCTTGTGTTCCAATCACCAGTAATTATTGATGTGTCTGGATTGTGTGTTTGATCAATTTCAGACTGCAGAATTGGTAAAAATCTTCAATTTCTTCATGTTTGGCCTGAGCGGTTGGTGCGTAAACTTAAATAATAGTTGTATTAATTGGTCTTCCTTGTAGGCGTATGGATATTATCCTATCACTGACAGCATTGTACTTCAGGATAGATCTTGAAATGTTCTTTCTGATGATGAGTGCAATGCCATTCCTCTTCAAGTTGTCATTCCCGGCATAGAAAACCATATGACTATCCAACTCAAAAGAGCCAATACCAGTCCATTTCAGCTGACTAATGACTAGGATACCTATCTTTATATGTTCCAGTTCATATATGAGGAGCCCTGGTGGAGCAGTGGTTAAGAGCTATGACTGCTGACCAAAAGGTCGGCAATTCAAATCCACCAGCTGCTCCTTGGAAACTCTGTAGGGCAGTTCTACTCTGTCCTGTAGGGTTGCTATAAGTTGGAATTGACTCAGTGGCAATGAGTTTAATGCTAGGTTATCGATCTTTATGTGTTCCATTTCATTTTTGACTTCCAATTTTCCTAGATTCATACTTAGTACATTCCATGTTTAGAATCTTCGAGGATGTTTTGCAGCTGTTTCTTCTCATTTTGAGTCATGCAGCATCATCAAATGAAGGTCCCGAAAGCTTGACTCCATCCATGCCATTAAGATCGACTCTGAGGAGGCAACTCTTCCTCAGTTGCATTTTGAGTGCCTCCCCACCTGAGGGGCTCATCTTTTGGCATGCTATCAGTGAAAATAAGGTTTTCACTGGCCAGTTTTTTTAGAAGTAGATCGCCAGGTCCTTCTTCCTAGTCTGTCTTGGTCTTGAAGCTCTACTGAAACCTGTCCACCATGAGTGACCCTGTTGGTATTTGAAAGACTGGTAACATAGCTTCTAGCATCACAGCAACACACAAGCCATCACAGTATGACAAACTGACAGACGAGTGGTGGGGGGAGAAAAAAACTTCAATGGTGATTTAATCAGTAAACTAGCTTCTTCCTCGGTGTGTGATGCTGCTAGAGAAAAGTCACTGAGTCCTGACACCTCAGCTAGGTCCTGAGCAGGGCCCAGCAGCTCTTCTTTTTACTCAGCACCTCCCACTGCAGCTTCACTCCAGCCTTCTGCTTCACTCTCAACAGATGGTCTTGTCTCTCCCTTCACAGAGAAGTTAGAAACCGTCAGATCCTAACGTTTTTCTCTCCCACTCCCAGTCTACCACTCCCCTCAGAAAAAGCTTAGCTGCGGCTGCGTTTACCTGCACCTCTTTCCTTCCTCCCTTAGTAGAAGGGCATCTGTCTGGTCTAAGAATAACCTTTCATCTGGGTTTTCCCTTTCATAGTTTCTAAATCTCCTGAATAACCTGCCGTCAGTCATTTGTAGTGTCTCCCTTTCTGTTGGCACTTCCCTGTGGCATGAAAGCGTGACTAAATTTTCTTTTAAAGAGAAAACTCTTCGCTCACGTTCTCTCAGCAGCGCTGTTTGTTTCCTCCTGGTCAAGGTTTTAAAGAGTGTGTGTGTCTTATACCATTTCTTATGCTTCAGGCACCTCTTTATCCATTAAAATCTTACATCTCTACTGCTACACCTATGCAGTTTCTCTTGCTGTGGTCAAGAAGAATCTCCAAATTAAGTATATTTTAGTTCTCACCTATCACACCTCGTTTTTGTGGCATTTGACTTTAATTCCTTCTTGAAAACTTGCCTTGACCTCCGGGGCCCCTTTTTGTTCTGTTTTTCTGTTTTTGTTTTGACTGCTCTTTAGTTTCTCTAGCATGATCTTTTTCCTCTGTACCTCACCGAAATCGTTGGTGCGGTCTCCCATGAGTTCTGGTCACAGTTTTATCCTGCTTTCTCTCCCTGGATGACCTGAAGCAAACCAGTAACTTCAGCCCTATATGTCTAGTCCTGATCCCTTACCTGAGCTTAGATGAGTTTCTCAGACTGCCCACTAGACTGATCTTACTTACAGTAACTTCATTCTACGCAGTACCCAGGCAAGAAATCGGAGGCTTTCTTCGTCAGCTCGCCCTGTCAGTTCTGCGTCTGAAATGCCTGATCCCCGCTCCCCGCTTTGTCCACGCGTGCTTAGTTCCTCTCCAGTCTCCTTCTCGGGTGTCCCACCATCCTCCTGAAATCCCTTCTCCACACTGGCCCCATATGGGCTGTTTATAATTCACAGCTGATCTTGGCCCTCCATTTTCTTTAAATATTTCTGTTGATTCAGTGTCATAGAGTTTCATAGACCAGCCTTCCTAGGGTCTTTCCCCTCATCCTTTTTGTTTGTCTGTTTTTAAAAACAGCTTAATTCGGATGTAATTGACCTACAGTAAACTGGACAAATCCGAAATGTACAGTTTGTTAAATTTTAACATAGGTATGCAACTATGAGATGATAACCACATTCCAGATAGTGAGCATAACTGTGGCCCTCAAAAGTTTGCCCTTTGTGGGCCCCAGGCAACCCTGGCATTTTTAAGAGCTAAACAAATCACATCATACAGTGTATACTCTTTTTTTGGGTCTGGCTTCTTTTGTTCAGTAAAGTGTATTTGAAATTCATTCACATTGAAGTGTGTATTAGTAGTTCATTCCATTTTATCCTTGAGTGGAATTCCATTGTATGGCTACACCACGATTTGTTTAGCCATTCACGTGTTGATGGACATTTGAGTTGTTTCCAGTTTTTTACCGTTACAAACAAAGCTGCTCCGAACATTCATTTGGATCTGTGCTTTCTGTTCTCTTGGGACAGAGAAACACCTAGATGTAGAATGGCTGGATCACATAGTAGGTATATTTTTAACTTTTTAAGGAACTGCCAAGCTGCTTTTCCAAGTGGTTGTACCATTTCGCATACCCCTCAGCAGCGGGTGAGGGTTCCGATTCCTCCACACCCTTGCCAGCATTTGGTAGGTCAGATGTGTGTGGTGGTATCTCATTATGGATTTAATTTACGTTTCCCTAATGATTAACGAGGAGCCCTGCTGGCGCAGTGGTTAAGACCTTGGCTGCGAACCAAAAGGTTGGCAGTTCGAATCCACCAGCTGCTCCTCGGAAACCCTAGGGGGGCAGTTCTGTTCTGTCCTGTAGGGTGGCTGTGAGTCGGAATCGACTTAGCAGCAACAGGTAATGATCAACAAAGGAGCCCTGGTAGTGCAGTGGTTAAGCGCTCAGCTGCTAATGGAAAGGTCAGTGGTTCGAACCCACCAGCTGCTCCACGGAAGAAAGACATGGCAGTCTGCTTCCATAAAGATTACAGCCTTGGAAACCCTACGGAGCAGTTCTACCCTGTCCTATAGGGTCACTATGAGTCGGAATCGACTTGACAGCAATGGGTTAATGATTAGCGATACTGAATGTCTTTTCATTTGCTTATTTATATGTTTTATTTTGGGAAATATCTATTCAAATGTTTTGCCCGTTTGTTAATTGATTTTTTTGTCTTATATTGTTGAGTTCTGAGAGGTCTTTATATATTCTGGATATACAAATTCTTAACCAGATAAATGCTTTGCAGATGTTTTCTACCAGTCTGTGGCTTGTCTTTTCATCCTCTTCAGAGGGTCTTTAGAAGAGCAGAAGTTTTTAATTTGATTTTTTTCTTCTATGGATTGTGCTTTTGGTGTTATACGTAAGAAATCTTTGCCCAACGTAAGGTCATGATAACTTTCTTCTACATTTTCTTGATGTGTTATAGTTTTAGATATTACCTTTGGTACAAGTTATGGATTAAAGTTCATTTTTTTTACATATGGATATCTAATTGTTCCAGCACCGTTTGTTGAAAAGACTACTCCTGTATCTGCTGAATTGCCGTAGATGTGCAGGGCTATTTCTGTACTCTTATTCGTCCCATTGATCTATGTGTCCGTCTTTAGTCCACTCCCACACTGTCATAATTGCTATAGCTTTGTGATAAGTTTTGAAATCACTTCACATTAGCTGTCCAGCTTTGTTTCCTCTGTAAGTTAGCTGTGGCTGTCGGGGCCATTTACGTGAATGAGATATGTTTATCCATTTACTTAGGAGTAAATCGGACCAAAGATGTGTAGGACCTTTAACTGCAAAGTACAAAACATTGCTGAGGGAAATGGAGAGAGACACCTTTTCAGGAGCTCTGGTGGCACAGTGGTTAAATGCTAGGTTGCAAACCAAAAGGTTGGCCATTCAAACCCACCAACCACTCCACACGAGAAAGATGTGGGAGTCTGTTTCCATAAAGATCACAGTCTTGGAAACCCTGTGGAGCAGTTCTACTCTGTCCTGTAGGGTTCCTATGAGTTGGAATCTACCCAACGGCAACGGGGTTTTTGGTTTACCTTGTTCATGGGTCACAAGACTAAATGAGTATTTTAAGATGTCAGTTCTCCCCCACATTAATCTACAGCAGGCTATTTTTGTGGAAATTTACAAACTGATTCTAAAAGATGTGTGGAAATGCAGAGGAGCTAGAGTAGCCAGAACAACTCTCCAAGTCAGCAGTGAGAAGACAAACAACACAGTGAACCTTACCAGCACTCTGCACTTGCTTCCTTCCAGTGTAATCCCCTCCTTGCCCCTTAAGAGAGAATCACCACTGTCTGACTTTTAGGGTAACCTCAGAAGAGTCAGCCTGATAGAAATGCAGGATGTGCAGATCCATATGAGCGATCCACATTGTCTGTACTACCTGTGTTCTGAGCAGTTATGGCTGGAAGTTTAGATCTGAAACATTCGTGAGGATGCCTGTGCACTGCACTTAAAATTCATGTGATCTGCTTCAGGAAACTTACCATATGCTGCCTACTTAGCCCCATTCTCAGCAGTAATCACAGATTTGATGTGCTAGAAATATTTTTTTCTTATATTTGTTCAGATGTATGATTGCAAAAGTATATAAATTGGCCTTTGCGCCACAGTCATCTCACATAGCACTGATAAGCTGGGACTTGCAAGTGTGTGATCAGAGTTCTATTCCTAGTGAGCAAGTGTGCTGTAACTGGTAGATAAATCGTTAGATAACAGTATCAAATTTCATAGACTTGAAATAAGCAAGTTTTATAGAAGTTTCATTTCATGCAAAGGGGCATTTGAAGATCTGACTTCTAAAGCAATTAATAATCAATTTATAAAACATTTAGAAATCAAATATAAATACATATCTTCATGTATGGTTTTGTTGTGTTAATTTTGAAAAATTATTAAATAGCATGAAACGAAGCGATAGTTGTGGAATGGTTTTAACCATAATTTTATGAATGATAGTGTATTACACTTTTTGTCTTAAAAGTGAACTTAATCTACATTTTGTAGTTGTTTTTAGGATAAATACGTGACACTTAAAATTTTTGTTTTTTAACAGAACAAAACTCCTTTAGTCAACGAGAGCCTGAAGAGGTTTTTGAATACAAAAGAAGGTAAGATGTTCCACTGGGTTTTGTTTATCTGTCTTTGAATTTTCAAATCTTGACACAATTTGGGAGAAATCAGGATGTCTACAGTACTTTTTTTGATGTCTACAATACTTTTTACTATATAAAGCAGAACACTGTTATTCATTTATAAAATGTGACATTGTCTTACTAATAGATAGTTGCAGACTGATGATCTTAATGAAAAAATGGGGAAATAGGCAGTTTCATTATTTAATCATATTCAAAGAGATGAAATTTGTTATTTAAAAAATTTAGAATTCTGTTTCATTAACTTCGTTTATCTTATTTCACAATGTTCACGGAAGGACTTTGAAAGTTCTTAAAGGTTTGCTTACCCACGTTCTTTTTCTTGATTTTTACAGGTCGATTAGTGGCTAGTCTTGTTGCAGAATTTCTTCAGTTTTTCAACCTTGACTTTACCTTGGCTGTTTTTCAACCTGAAAGTAGCACAGTAAGAATAATAATCTCTACGTCTGTCCTGTGAAACCTGCTTTGGTACAAATACATTATTTGTTTATAAGCTGCAAGTTAGCAGAGCTTGACAGCTTACAGTTTCTTGCATATCGATGGTTTTTTAGAGTTTTTGAGCCAGCAGAGCTGTCAGGTAGCTGGCCGCAGTGTGGCTGCTTCGTATCCCTCAGAAGTTTGCCGAGACAGGAGTGTTTTATCATAGAGTTTATTTCGTTAGGATGTTAGCGTGCAACTGTTAGTGGAAAGTGAATGTGCAGGTTCTGCAAAAGAAATATGTATAACCTTTAAAAATGAACATTTTATCCATCAGGAAGTCAGGCTCTTTGAGTTCAGGGACATCATTGAGCTCTAAAAATATTTTTATTTAACCTCTAAAATTATTTTCTGCTACATTTTGTGGGCTTATATCTTATTCCTTCCCTAGCTCCAAGGTCTTGAAGGTCGAGAGAATTTAGCCCGAGATTTAGGTATTATTGAAGCAGAAGGTACTGTGAGTGGACCCCTGTTATTAGAAGTGATTAGACGCTGTCAACAGAAAGAAAAAGGGCCAGCCAGTGGGGAGGTAAGTATAATCATCTCTTACTTGTTCTCTTTCTGTTTTAATTATCGGCCGCTTAGTTTAGCCATGCAGATTAGTACAAGGTTTAAATAACCTTTAGCTTGAAAACAAAATGAATTATACTCGGATTCTGTACATGGAAATTGTTAGGAAAATTGGAAATGTGATATCTCTGACGCTGCTGCTTCAGCTGTTCTGGTTGTTGATACAGTGTTGGGTTCAGGAGCCAGACGGTCTGGGAACAAATCAGCTTCAACACTTCCTAGCTGACATGGAGTCATTACTTACCTCTCAGTTTCCTCATTTGTAAAACAGAGATAACAAGATCCATCTCCTGTGCTTGTGAGGCTTATATGCACGAGATTCTCGGGTGGTGCAAACAGTTTACATGCTTGGCCTCTAACCAAAAGATTGATGGTTCATGTGCACCCAGAGTTGCCTCAGAAGAAAGGCCTGCCAGTCTACTTCTGAAAAATCAGCCACTGGAAACTGTACGGAGCACAGTTCTACTCGGATACACGTGGGGTCGCCATGAGTCGGAGTCAGATCGGTGGCGGTGGTGGTGGTGGTGGTCCAAGTAAAATGCTAAGGAGAGCGCTTGGCATAGAAAACACTCAACAGATTGTCAGTTATCTTTATTGTTGGGTTACGTAAGAAGATGTGTAATATTTTATATGCTAACTGTATATATAATAATGGTTAATTTGTAGGCTAGTTAGTTTTTTGAACTGGAAGGTATTTTTAAAACTAAGTTAAAACTTAACTTGATTTCACTTAGTTTCTAAATATTTTCAAACTTCCACTTTTTGATTGGCAGTTTTTCTTCCTCTTATTGTTTCTTTTTAGAGATCCTGCTAAGGAGATTAATGGTCTGGTCTCTATTTAGGCACATTAGCTTTCCCTGCAGATACTCTGTCTCATAGACAACAGCTGTGAGGGTGGAGATGTCTGGTAAATGTGTAGTTTTAGTGATAGATATTTATAGATAAAAGGTGGAGGGCTACGGGCCACTCACTTACTTCAGTTGGAGTTTCAGAGTGTATCTCCTGTCAGGGCAGAATCTTTGGAAATCAGTAAAGCTTGCCTGAATACCTATTGCATGGAAGGCACAGTAAACAGATTCTGTGGGAAATACAAGCTATAAAATAAAACATAAGGAAGTTCAGTGGTGTTAAGAGCTTAGAGCTCTTCAGGATGAGGCGATGCTCACAGAGTGTAATTAACATTTCAGGAATGGCTTGAGGTTGTAGAGGGAAGGTCATGTGATGCATGATTCTCTGCACACAGCTCCTAAGTAATCATTTTAGTTAAGAGGGAGCAGTGATTGTTTCACGCTAACATTTTGTTAACCTTTGCTGTGACATGCAAGACTAGGGTGTCAGCGGTGGTGAGGATTGGGAAGGACGTGCCAAGGAGACAGGGCAGTGAGTGTGGACGCCGGCCGCACGGCCAGGTCTGTGGACAATGACTAGCTCAGCCTGCCTGGAGTTCTCACCTCAGTGCCCCCGTGTTTCCACTCCATTCCTTCTTGCGTTTGTTCGCTCATCACTTATTTCCTGAGTTTTTGTTGTGCGCTTACTACAGGATGGCAAGGTGCTAGGCCCTGGGGAGTGAAAAAACAAGGAAAAGGCGCCTGCTGTCTCCTGGGGCCGCGGTAGGGGGTAGTGACACCCTGCTAGCCCGAGCCTCTGCTGGCTTCTGTGCCGCTGGCCTCCGTTCCTCGCCCGTTGCCTGCCTTGCGTTTCCTTGTCACCTCTTCACAGTAGGGATTGCCCCCGTGCAGGCTTCTTCCTTAACAGTGGAGCCAGGTTCGGCTCCCAGCTCTGCCTAGCTGTGCAACCCTCTGTGAGTTACTTAGCTTCCCTGTACGTGAGTTTCCGCGTCTGTAAAAGGGAGATCATTACAGTCTCCACCTCAGGGTTGGAATGAGGGCTAACTGAAGGGATCCGTGTGTATAAAACTCTTAGAACACTGCTGGACAGGTAGTAATATTGTATAACTATTTGCCATTGTAATTATTCCTATTTCTTGTTTTTCTTGTTATCATATGGATGACTCTGGAAGTCTCCCTAAGTCCAGCTTAGCCCTTTCACGTATTTCTACACCAGAATTTCCAGTTCTTCACAAAATACACTCACCTGGTTATCCCGCTAGCGCATTTAAATCATATGTGGAAAAAAAAAACTGTCGTTATGATCTTCATTTCTACTGAAGTGAAGCCACACAAGACAAAAATAAATCTACCCAAAGACCCAGTTCCGGTTCTTCTTCCTCACTTCTCTGTTCTGACTCTCTTACTGTGACTGCTTGGTTTCAGCCTGAGGCATCGCCTCGGCACTGGACGGAGTCAGCCAGTCTGTGGGTGAGGACTCAGGCTCTCCTGGGCCCAGGTGCTCTGGCCTCGGGTTGTAGAAGCACTAACTACTGTTCTCTGCTAGACCCAGTGAAAGCTCTCCTGGGTAGCTGGTTTGGTTTGAAAACGAACTAAGTAAACATATTACTCAGTATCCCACTCTGACTGTACCCCAAGCACCCCGTCCGTTTGCCCTGTTTCGGAGGTGTGAGTTGTCTGCATGAACCCAGCCTGCGGTTTTCTGTATCTTCTAAGGGTCATTGTTTTACTCCCCCGAGTTAAGTAGTGAGGAGCACACGTTTCTGCTTTGGCCTTTCCATCCTTTACTGGGGCTTTACTCTACAGCTTTGAGAGGAAATCTCTCACCAACAGTGAGGTTAAAAAACACACGGATTGTTTTTATTGACCTTCTTTTGACCTCTGTTTCTCTGGAAGAAAACGAGCCGTGGATCGAGACCAGTGAGCTCTTAGCCAGCTGCGTTTTAAAACCACCTCAAGAGTCAGGTTGCTGTGCCCTCCACAGGTCACTGTGACTGTGGATGGTTACGGTGAGTGTCCCCCGCCCGTGATAAGTGTTCTGAGCTCCTTGGTGAGGCCCGTTCGTCTCCAGCGGCCCCGTTACCAGCCGGCCCTGCTCTGGTCTGCAGTGGCGTAGCTGGCATGTGTCTTTGAGATGATACAGCTTCCCCGTCTTTTCAGTTCTGCGTGACTGTTGATGAATTAATGTTAAAACTCAGCTGTCGGTCTCTTCCTTCCACTGTTGAATTGCAGTGTCTGTGTGACTGCAGTTACCAGTGGTTTCCACATTGCTCCTCCGTGCTTTGAAGAGCTTGCATCGTTGACACCAACTGACCTTTCTGGCCTTATGGCCTTACTGTTGATGTGGAACCTTGGAATTAATCCAAACTGAATTTATTCCTTGAAAGTGGCTTTTGCTTTCTTGGATCTTTTTTTTTTTTCATTTTCTGACCTTATTCTCTGCCTGAAATGGTCCATCTTCCCCCTTTGCCAGCTGGAAAATTTATCATTGGTTTCTTTCAGCAGCTGTGACTTTTTGTGATGTTTTCTCTTGTTCTTTTCTCTCTTTACTACGTTCACATGTCCTCTGCTTAGTTGTCATAGTTATCTGCACGTGTCTGTGCCCTACTGCTAAATTATGAGCTCACTGAGGACAAGGGCTGTGTGTTTCTTTTGTGTCTCTTGGAATGTCTAGCACACAGTGATTTCTTAGAGAATTTGCATGAAATTTGGAGAAGTTAGAAAACTAGAAAAAGTGAAACTCCCGAGGCAAATCTAGACAAGACGGTAGAGGAAGAATGGCAACAAAGGGACAGACAAAACCAAAACAAACCATCAAGTCAGCTCGGGCTGGCGGTGACCCGTGTGTCTCCGAGCAGAACTGTGCTTCCTAGGGTTTTCAATGGCTGTGAGCTTTTGGAAGTAGACTGCCGGGCCTTTCTTCTGACGTACCCCCGGTAGATTCAACACCAGCCTTTTGGTTAGTAGCCAAGTGTGTAGCCATTAGCATCACCCAGGGACTCCCGTGGACAGATAAAGATTGCATTAGAAAGGAGTAATCAACAAGACTCGGTAAACTAATATTTTGGCACAGGGGCAGGGTATTAGAGGGCAGTGGGAAAAAGAAAAGCTTTCCAAGGTGAGATTTAGGATTTCAGCCCGGGAGAAGACATTGTTATTAACAGACATAGTGGGACTCAGGATGGGTAGAGAGTATAAGCTGTGAAGACCAGCACCTCTTCTTCTTTACAAAGTTTTCTTTACAAAGTTGTAGTTGTTGAGAGGAGTTTTGTAACAAAACAGCTAGTAGCTAATATACCCGGAGTGCATGAACTTTAGGAAGTGATTTTCATTCAAGGAACATTTTCAAAAACTTCCTTCTTTACGTTTAGAAGCATAGCACCTAGATGACGGGGTGCAGTGACAGATACACGGGACTGCTAGAGAAGCCGGGACAAGAGAGTGCAGTGACAGATACACGCGACTGCTAGAGAAGCCGGGACAAGAGAGTGCAGTGACAGATACACGGGACTGCTAGAGAAGCCGGGACGGAGAGAGTGCAGTGACGGGTACA